TCACGGTAATCTCAATTAATCTGAAAAAAATCTTTTTCGAGATAAAAAATGTAAATTTTATTCGTTTCCTTTTTTTACACACGACATCACACAAGAACAATTAAAGTAAAAAAACGCGTGTCGATCAGATGTGTCGTTTAAAAAATTTAAATTATTTTTCCGACGTAATAGAAGCCCCTGGGCTTCTAATACACCTTTCACATCGATGGCTTCAGAGGGGCCTTCTAATACGGGGGGGGGCGTCTAATATGGGGGAGGCGTCTATTATGGGGGGGGGTTTACTCAAATTCATTAGATAAAATGCTGAGATTCATGTTGAAAGGTGAAAGATTTTGTTCATAAAAACCAAATTACTCTGACAGACAGTGGTTGATGAGATATTCGCTGATACCACCACTTAACAGCCGTTTTTGTGGGTTTACTGCCCGATCTGCTTTTGGAATTTCTGCTTTGGAATTCGACAGATTTTGACAAAAGCAGGAATTCATTTGGAATTTCTGCTTCTGCAGTAATTCTTTTGAAATTTCGACAGCTGTCGAAATTCAGAATATTTTTAGAATGTTGACATCTGGTGTTTGTTGTATATACTGTTGTCGAAGGATGTAGTGGAATTTCGACAAAATTCTCTACTTGAAGGAAAAAAAGACTATTTATCGGCGTTGAAAGAAAAATATAGAATAAATAACAAAATAATGATGTTGAGAAGAAAATAGTAATAGAAATAAAATAAAAAGATGACATGATTGATACAGGGGAGTGAATACCAAAAATGAATAATAAAGGAAAAAAATAGAAGTTAAATACATGAAGATGATAACAGGGGAGTGAATGAGCGAAAGCGAACGATAAAGAAAAAGATACAGAAGAAGTACATTATGGAAAGGAAAGGAAAAACATACATATATATAAGAGAATACTTTTCGTTAAACATTAAATTAAAGTTTTGTTGAATAAATATGGCTAAATTTACTCCCTATTAAACTAATTTCCGACTACGATATTACTTTGATTACATTAATCAAGTGATGATATTACTTTTGAGGGTATTAGAATTTCGACAATGCTGTCAAAATTCCAAAATAATTTACAAATTCCGCTGCAATTTCGACGTGTCAAAATCTCAAAGCAGAAATTCCAAAAGCAGATCGGCGAGTTTACCTTTTTGTGCAACGTAGTGTAGACTGTCACTATAGCAGATGCACTGTAATGTCAGAACAAAGAGCATTCTTGTCCACTTCTAATGTAAACCGATATCAAAACAACTAAAAACCAAACATACACTAAGTTGTTATAAAGTGGTTACTTACGGTTAACCGTTCCAACGATTATTTACGGTTACGATTAACCGTAACCGTTGCATGCCTAGTTAGAAGGTCCGGTTGATCGGCGAATCATTGAGAAGACATTTTAGAAATTGGTGTTTTCTGTTTGAAAAAAGCATTTTTTAGAGTTGTGTCTCGAACATAAAATGTGGCAAATTTAATTTTCTAAATTGTATGTGTGGTACCAGATTTTTAGAAATCGTTCTTCATGGTGAAAAACAGTACACACCATTTTCACCGTGAAGACCGATTTGTATACAGTTGAGCCCGGCAGATAAACTTTAGCAAATTAAATTTGTCACATTTTTGTCTGTAGATCCAGCTTTCGAAAAGCTCTTCCTTCAGTGCGAAAAATAATATAAAAGGCGGTATTTTCACTTTTTCACGCTGAAGGAAGAGTTTTCCAAAGCTGGATCTAGAGACAAAAATGTGCAAATTTAATTTGCTAAAGTTTATCTGCCGGGCTCAACTGTGTACAAATCGATCTTCACGGTGAAAATGGTATGTACTATTTTTCACCATAAAGAACGATTTCTAAAAATCTGATACCACACTTACAATTTAGAAAATTAAATTTGCCACATTTTATGTTCAAGACATCTATATGATGTAAAGAAGTAGCTTGACCGGTCGGTTGGAGTTTACAGCTAGCTCGATCGGTCGGTGAAGCGGGCGGTTAACCTAGCTAATAATCTCCTGGTGTTTAATCTATTTTATGCAAGGAATTAGCTCGATCGATCGATTAACCTAGGTGGTAACCTCCTCAACCGTTCAAAAGTAGGTCGAACCGGCCGATTCTAGATTAAAGTTTTTGAGCTGGAGCGAGCTTAACCGAGTGAAAAGTCTGTTACCTAGCTCCAATCGCCCGATTCTAGCTCCACTTTTTTTGTCTGGATGGTTTTTAGTAATCATGAACGAATAGGATACAGCGAAAGACTGTTCTCATTTAGATTCAAGATTTAAAATTTTTTATTTTGATGTTAACCGTATTTTTGCTCTCATTTGGTGTACCCGCTTATGCTTTAATTCACGATGCTCAACCGTTTACGTGGCATTTACCACGAAAAATATTTAATATTGCCTATTGGGAAATATTTGGTGATCTTAAAGTTTTAGAGTTAATTGAAGGTAATAATAATTTTAAAAACTAAAAAGAATTATATTGAACAACAGTTATAATGGCTTTCTTTCAGACAATTATACCTTACCAGGCTACTTTACATATGTCTTATTAGGCATTTATATGGCCTTCGGTGCAATCTTATTAGTTAATTTATTAATTGCTATGTTCAGGTATGTTGTCGCAATTGCATGAAAATGCTTAAGTCTTCAAAAATGACTTTGGTTTTTCTAGCAACACATTTAGTTCATGTCAAACGGATACAGATTACATTTGGAAATCTCAACGTTTCAAATTAGTCTTCGAATATTTGGATAGACCATCGCTACCTCCCCCACTCATTTGTATTCCACATTTATACCGTCTATTCCTGTTCACATCAACACGTTTCTTTAAATCACCAACACGTCTGAAACAAATCTATCAAAAACATATTCAGCGAACAAGCCTTCGTATGTACGCTCAAAATAATGCATTTTTGAGAGATGGGTTAACTGTACAGAGTACGTGTTTCTTTAGAAAAAGTTTTGACTGATAAAGATGTGTCCTATCTGGAAGAACTCGAAGATGCAAGAGGTGATGAAGTCTATTTTCAATATTTGAAGAACAAACAACAAAGGCAAACGATTTATCCATCAACACTATTAGGTCAAGCTATCTTCGATATGGGAGAAGAGAAATTGTATGTCAAAAAAAAGTTTTCAGAATTTTAGCGTGACACGAAACTGCCGCGGGTGATATTTTCGCGAATTTTTCATAATACAAATTTAGGTATTTTTTCTGGACAGACACACCGACAAACAGCGGTGGATGATAGGAGTGGGTGGGTGAGAGTGGCGTGAGAGTGAGTTCGAAACGTAGTTTCATATCAAAGATATTTGCATGATATAGTCTGACACTGGTTCGATTACTTCAAGATGAACTGATATTGAAATTTTAATAACGGGTAGATTCACTGTAAGACGGATATGTTTTGGTTTGTTAGTGTTTCAAACATATGGAGAACTTGAATGTTTAATTTTCTTAACATCTATTTTCAAAAGTTCGTAGAAGACTCGTTTGTGGAATAGTCGGTGAATCGAATTTCTTAATCATCTTTAGAAAAGCAAAATGCAGCCCCGGAGCAACAATAAATCGTTTAGCAGTGCTTGAAGAGAATATGCAAATCATTCAAACTCAAGTAAATACTTCCAAACCACTTACTTATAGCAGATTAAAGGATTTTACTTCGTTTTCTTTAGCAACAAAACCTTCTGGCTTCTTTGGAACGCATGAGAAATGGTATTCAGCCGCCTTCAATCAGTAGTTCTTTCTGGAGCTGCACTGATATCTAGCCTGATGACTGATCCAATAAAACAACAAAGATTTGATACATTTCGTCCGATCTTATGATTTAAATTTGTATAGTGAGCTGGAAATTTCACTATAAAGAAATAAAACTGTGTTATTTTGTAAAGAAGCCAATTACTAGATAATTTACAACCTTCTTGACTTAAATACGTACTATTACCGGAAGTGACGTTGTTTTTGAACATAAC